CTTCTGTAGACTAGATACCCTGAAAGATATCTAAATTAACTGACCAGCTAAAATCGCATTATAAAAAACAAAGGAAACCAAAGAAGAAAATACTGCACATTGTGAAACTGAGCTACTTCATGTTTACAGAGTCATACAAAAGGCAACCAGTACTGACCTTTTAACGAAAAGAGTTCATGAATAAAAAAAATATTTTACAATGCTATTTCTAGTTACCACTTTCATATCCAGAATTTTTTTTGGGATGCAGTTCACTGTTTTTTTTTTGTTTTTTTTTTTTTTTTCAACATGGGCACCTCATTTGGTAACAATTAAAAGAGTTATGTAAAAAGATATACCGGTATATATGCTCACCATGTGGTTTTGGATTAAGTCTAGGTTCTCAGGTTTTTACTCAAACATTAATAATATCTAGTGAGATATATTATCAAAACTAATCATAAACCCAATAGTGTCTTCATTTAAGACATACAGGGCTTCATAAATAGCAATATATTTATGTTCAAATCCCATTTTGAATATTGCTAAATTTGGCCAATATGTCTAATTACATCCAGGAAATTAATTACTTTTTAAAAAGAAATGTTATGGGTAATGCTTCCAAATACTCGAATTACCATATACAGCAAAGGAAACAAGAAGCCCCTGTTTTTTCCACATATAACATTAGAATATTAGCATAATACTTCGCACCAATGAACTATGATGACTTTGGTGTGAGTCTGAGTTGTCCTCGATGTTAGGATCCAGTCATGCTGTCAGTTCTTGAGTAATGACCTCACTCATATGGATTCCAGGGTGGTCCTTTCACTGCCTCTTAGGCACACTTTCACACACAAAACACACTTATTCCATAGTCCCCACCCAGCCAGAGATTATCACACATCACTAACAAATATAAAGTATGCCCACATAACAAAAACTTGGGTCTCTGTCTAAAACTAGTTGACTCACTCCTTCAGAGTTTCCTTTTCAGTTTTCGCAAAGATGTGTTCCTTTATTTTCATTTTATTACATGTCTATGTACACACCAAGATGCAGGGAGTTGGAAAAAACCTAAATCCCCCTTTCCCCTTGTTCTGTGTCTTGCACAATCAGTCCCTTTACAAGCCGTACTGCCCAGCTGCTGCACACAACCACTGTGACATGATCTGCTTTTGCAGGCTCCAAGGGTCTGTTGAAAGTGTGAGGAATTGGCACCAAAAGGCCTTCAACACTTCCTCCACTTTCTTGTACAGGCGACCTGCCTCAAGCGTCCCATGCCTCAATGACCCGCTCCCCTCCCCTCCCAGAGGCTTAATGGCCATAAACCACACAAGACAAGCAAACTAGATTAGCTTCTATCTGTTCTGGTGGTTGTCACTGAGGCACCCTGACCTTAGATTTATGGTGAGTTAGTTGCTGATAAATTCTTCAGATGCTCCTTCTGCTATTTTTTTTTTTTCATTGCTGATACTGCTTTGTAAAGATATAAATGCTGATTAAAGACCGCAAAATGACTTACAGCTTAAGAACGGCTTTGAAAACTTGATACGAACTTCCACTGTCACTGCAAAGAGAGGGTATTAAAGAGCAAACAATGATGTGAAAGTGATTATTCAGTGCATCTTTGCAAATGCAACAATTTACTAAATTTAACCACATAGACAGCCAACTCCCTACTCAATGTATTGTAAGCCTAAACATTTGACTCTACAACTGAAAATAATTAGATTATATATAAGGATTTGTATTTACAGAAGCTTGGACTCTTTCTAAATCAGTCTGATATTTGTTCAATTATAAAATGAATCTAATAAAATGTACAAATGTATCCAGAGTCTTAAGATTTTTATCACTTATAAGGAATATGAAATAATCAGTTGGATCAACAACAGTTAATGATAAGAAAGGCAAATCTAAAGCTAATTTCCACTGCTGTTACTTTTCATTAAGGGTGAGAAATATGCTTAAGATTTGGAATATTCAGCATTAAATGAATGTAGGTCTATTCTATGAGAGGGATTCGTTTTATTGGTTTATCTTTACCATCTCTGCTCAAACATCTGGATAGAAAGAAGGAATATATTTCCTCTGACACTATATCCTTTATTGTCCTTTATTGAAATTTGAAATCTAACTTCTAGTTAGACTTGAGCTTGCACAATTATGCCTATACAATTATGATTGGGCTTTGTTTATATTCTGTGCTTAATACTGTTCATTCATTGGTATGTTGTCCATCATTTTGTGAATTTGTGTCTGTGAAAACATCCTATACAAATATATTTTACTTAGTTACTTACCTTATTTGATTATAAATGCTACAAGCCCAGAATAAAGTCATAAATCCATCTTTCAAGATGACCAATATTTTATGTAAATAGAGGCCACATTTGTGAACTTTAATCAAGGTACAGCACAGTACAAATGTACACTGATAAATAGTTAGAAGACTAAT